AGAGAGGGATGGAGAACACTGAATGTTGGCCAGTGGAGGGATTGGCAGAGAGGGATGGAGGACACTGATTGGAGGCCAGTGGAGGGATTGGCATAGAGGGATAAAGGACACTGAATGGAGACCAGTGGAGGGATTGGTAGAGAGGGATGGAGGACACTGAATGGAGACCTGTGGAGGGCTTGGCAGAGAGGGATGGAGGACACTGAATGTTGGCCAGTGGAGGGATTGGCAGAGAGGGATGGAGGACACTGAGTGGAGATCAATGGAGGGATTGGCAGAGAGAGATGGAGGACACTGAATGAAGGGCAGTGGAGGGATTGGCAGAGAGGGATGGAGGACACTGAATGTTGGCCAATGGAGGGATTGGCAGAGAGGGATGGAGGACACTGAATGGAGACCTGTGGAGGGATTGGTAGAGAGGGATGGAGGACACTAAATGGAGACCTGTGGAGGGCTTGGCAGAGAGGGATGGAGGGATGGAGGATACTGAATGTTGGCCAGTGGAGGGATTGGCAGAGAGGGATGGAGGACACTGAGTGGAGGCCAGTGGAGGGATTGGCAGAGAGGGATGGAGGAAACTGAATGGAGACCAGTGGAGGGATTAGCAGAGAGGGATGGATGACACTGAGTGGAGGGCAGTGGAGGGCTTGGCAGAGGGGGATGGAGGATACTGAATGTTGGCCAGTGGAGGGATTATCAGAGAGGGATGGAGGACACTGAATGGAGACCAGCGGAGGGATTGACAGAGAGGGATGGAGGACACTGAATGTTGGCCAGTGGAGGGATTGGCAGAGAGGGATGGAGGACACTGAGTGGAGGCCAGTGGAGGGCATAGCAGAGAGGGATGGAGGACACTGAATGTTGGCCAGTGGAGGGATTTGCAGAGAGAGATGGAGGACACTGAATGGAGACCAATGGAGGGATTGGTAGAGAGGAATGGAGGACACTGAATAGAGACCAGTGGAGGGATTGGCAAGTTGCAACTTCTTTTGCTGGGGAATGTATATTGTGTTTGCTAATCTCTCTCCACAGGATGACATAGTTGTGAAGAAGACATTAGAAGATGGACACAACTCCATAATGGTTCCTCTACATTCCTTTCTGGTTCCAGAAAAAAACAATGAGGGGAAGATTTTACAAGTCACCCAAAAGATCATTGATATCCTTAGCAGAGAGGTGAGTGGTGCCGGGAATTCTGGGACATTCTCCAGTAACAGACAAGGGATGTCTGGATGGTGACTGTATCATTGTGTGTGTCAGGTTCCTATAAGGTGTCAGGATGTCTCCACTCAGTGTAAAAACTGGAGCAAAATTAATGTTAGTATCAAAGAAGACATAAAAGGAGAGGAAGAGAGTGTGATAAAGGAGCGGCAGTGTTTAGGACACAAGGATCTCTACAAGGACATCAAAATGGAGAATCAGCCTCCCCTCACATCACCGGGTAAGAGGAGACTTTATTATAAAGGAGAGAGCAGTACGGAGGGTCCACCTAGATCCCCCATCATCTGATAAACACATAGAAACAATGGATTCAGTCAGTGTGTGTTTCCTACAGATGGATCCAGTCATGGGAACCCACCAGAGAGATCTCCCCGTCCTCTGTATTCCCAGGATTTCACACAGAAAGGTCACACCATCCCTCACCATCATCAGGTAGATGGATCCAGTAATGGGAACCCACCAGAGAGAGGTCCCCGTCCTCTGTATTCCCGGGATTCCACACAGGAAGATCACATCATCCGTCACCATCATCAGGTAGGTGAGGATGCTGAACTCAAACTTGACTCTAAATTGTAGTAGATGATATTATTCTATGTAGTCTCAGGATAATAATGCTCACATTCATTCTGTTATTTTAGGGGGAAGAAGTGATGGGTATAAAAATTGAGGTTAAAGAAGAAGATGAGATGTATGTGACAGATAATCAACTGTCTTTAAATGAAGATGAATTTGATGATGACGATGACCAAGGAGGAATCTTCTCTAGATGTCAGCACAGGTAAAAAAAAAATTATTATATATATATACTTAATGTAAAATGCAGCACTTCATATTTTTATTTTATGTTCCTTCTTTCACATTTCCATACATTTCCATCACATTTAGATATGCAGATTTACCAAGAAGGATGAAAATCAGCAATCCAATCCATTTGGCTTGTTATGATGTGATGGAAAAGTATCCAGTGAATCTATATCACATCATATGGAGTGTAGATTCTGTACACCATATGAAAGGTCCATTTCCATTCCTCAATATAACGTCATGTTCCCAACAAATGTGAAGGAGATACTGGACACCATATCAAAGGTCCATCTCCATTCCTCAATATAACGTCATGTTCCCGACAAATGAGGAGGAGATACTGGACACCATATGAAAGGTCCATCTCCATTCCTCAATATGATGTCGTGTTGCCAACAAATGTGGAGGAGATACTGTACACCATATGAAAGGTCCATATCCATTCCTCAGTATACCGTCATGTTCCCAACAAATGAGGAGGAGATACTGTACACCATATGAAAGGTCCATCTCCATTCCTCAATATAGGGTCATGTTCCCAACAAATGAGGAGGAGATACTGTACACCATATGGAAGGTCCATCTCCATTCCTCAATATGATGTCATGTTGCCAACAAAAGTGGAGGAGATACTGTACACCATATGAAAGGTCCATATCCATTCCTCAATATAACGTCATGTCCCCAACAAATGAGGAGGAGATACTGGACACCATATGAAAGGTCCATCTCCATTCCTCAATATGATGTCATGTTCCCAACAAATGAGGAGGAGATACTGTACACCATATGAAGTCCATCTCCATTCCTCAATATAACATCACGTTCCCAACAAATGAGGAGGAGATACTGTACACCATATGAAAGGTCCATCTCCATTCCTCAATATAATGTCATGTTCCCAACAAATGAAGAGGAGAAACTGGACACCATATGAAAGGTCCATCTCTATTCCTCAATATAACGTCATGTCCCCAACAAATGAGAAGGAGATACTGTACACCATATAAAAATTTCCATCTCCATTCATCAATGTGATGTCATGTTCTTACAAATTTGATGTTGGAAGGTCCATTTCTGTTCCTCATCCTATCAATGTCATGATCTGGGTAACGGGTGACTTACAAATCGACATTCATTATTCCTAACTGCAAAACATGAACAATAAATATGTTTTATTAATATGATTTAGTCCTCGGGGACTTCAATATCCCCATCAATGACAACAGCCCGGCTACTTCCCAATTCCTCCACCTAACCTCCTCCTTCGCGCTCACACAGCACACTCAATCCTCCACCCACATCATTGGGAACACCCTGGACCTCGTCTTCTCCCACCTCTGTACCCTCAACCAGTTCTCTAACACCCCCTTCCCTCTCTCCGACCACCACCTCCTCACGTTCTCCATCTCCCCTTCCCCTAACTCCCCCCCCCCAGAGCGCCAAACCATCACCAGCCGCAACCTTCGCAACCTGAACCCGGCCCCCCTCCACTCAGCTGCCGACCGCCTACACGACAGAATCCTTCCACTGTCTTGTCCGGACCTAGCCACTAACACGTACAACGACTCACTATCAGCTACCCTAGACTCTCTGGCACCCCTAACCACACGCTACATCAAACCCAGACCGCTCCAACCATGGCAGAACGACCACACTAAATGCCTCAAACGTCGCAGTCGTGCGCTGGAGAGACTATGGCGCAAAACCAGGTCCCCCCGTTCATTCTCCCTCTACAAATCTGCCTTCCTCACTTACACCTCCTCCCTCCACGCCGCCAAGCAGGCTTACTTCGTAAACCTGATTAACACCCTCTCCTCCTGCCCTCGCCGACTCTTCTCCACCTTCAACTCCCTGCTCTCTCCCCCCCCTCCTCCACTCAGTACCTCACTCACCGCCCACGAGATTGCCACTCATTTCCACAATAAAATTGATGCTATCCGTCAGGACATAGTCAACTCGCAATCTACCTCCCCACCTAGCCTCCCCCCCCCTATCTCCCCCTCATCTCTTCCCTCCTCTGACCTCGCAACCGCACTGCCCCCCTCCACACCCAAGACCCCGCTTACCGTAACCCCACCAGCTCTGCACTCCTTCAGCCCCGCTACCACTGAGGAAGTCACCAGGGTCTTCTCTGAAGCCCGCCTCACTACCTGCCCCCTAGACCCTATCCCCTCTCGACTCCTCCAGTCACCCCCCTCTTCCCTCATCTGCTCCCTCACCCACATCTTCAATCTCTCCCTCTCTACCGGCGTATTCCCCTCCCCCCTAAAGCATGCGCACATCACCCCCCCCCCATACTCAAAAAGCCCTCCCTGGACCCCTCTGACTCAAACAACCTCAGACCCATCTCCCTGCTGCCACTCACTTCCAAACTCCTGGAGCGCTTAGTCTACAACCGCCTAAGCGCCCACCTAACTGACAACAACCTCCTTGATCCACTACAGTCCGGCTTCCGTCCCCTACACTCCACCGAAACCGCCCTCCTCAAAATCACCAACGACCTACTTACCGCCAAAGCCAAAGGCGACTACTCTGTCCTCCTCCTCCTGGACCTCTCCGCGGCCTTCGACACAGTTGACCACCCCCTCCTCCTTAATAAACTATTCTCCCTTGGCGTCAGAGACACCGCTCTCTCCTGGTTCTCCTCTTACCTATCCCGACGCTCCTTCAGCGTTTCCTACAATGGTGCCACCTCCCCTTCCCTCCCCCTCTCTGTTGGGGTCCCCCAGGGCTCTGTCCTTGGACCCCTTCTCTTCTCCATCTACACCTCCTCCCTTGGCAAACTCATACACTCCCACGGCTTCAACTACCATCTCTATGCAGATGACACTCAAATTTACCTCTCCACCCCTCACCTCACCTCCACTTTCTCCGCCCGCATCACTCACCTCCTAAACGACATCTCTGACTGGATGTCGCTCCATTTCCTCAAACTCAACCTCTCCAAAACCGAGCTTCTCGTCTTCCCTCCTGCCCGCGCCCCCCCCCCCCATCCTATCCATCACTACTAACATCACCACCATCAATCCCGCCCCGCAAGCCAAAGTCCTTGGGGTCATTCTGGACTCTAACCTCTCCTTCCAACCTCATGTCAAATCACTGACAAACACATGCAGGCTCCACCTCCGCAATATCGCCAAAATACGCACCTTCCTTACCCCAGACACCGCTAAACTACTTGTGCACTCCCTGATTATCTCACGCCTTGACTACTGCAACTCCCTCCTCACCGGCCTACCCCAGTGCAAACTCTCCCCGCTTCAGACCATCCTGAACTCAGCTGCCAGACTCATCCACCTCACCAGCCGCTCCACCTCTGCCACCCCCCTCTGCCTCTCCCTCCACTGGCTCCCTATCGCCCAACGCATCAAATTCAAACTACTCACTCTGACCTACAAAGCCATTCACAACACTGCCCCTAACTACCTCACCGACCTGATTCCCAAGTACCACCCTACCCGTACCCTTCGCTCTTCACAGGACCTCCTTCTATCTTGCTCCCTGGTCTCCTCCTCACACTCACGTCTGCAAGACTTCTCCAGGTCCTCCCCCATCCTCTGGAACTCACTACCCCAATCCATCAGACTGTCACCTTCCCTCCTCACCTTCAGGCGCTCCCTGAAAACCCACCTCTTCAGGGAAGCCTACCCCACCCTCACCTAACTGCTGCTCTCCTTCATTCCTCCTACCACTCCATCCCCCACAGCCACTTCCTCCTGTACCACTACCCCCTCCCTCCCAGATTGTAAGCTCGAAAGAGTAGGGCCCTCTTACCCCTCGTGTGCTGTTCGTAGCTGCTGTAATGTTTCATGTATTGTCCCCCCCTCTATTGTACAGCGCTGAGCAAACCCTTTGGCGCTATATAAACTCAATGTAATGTAATGTAATGTAATTATTATTTTTGATTTTTAAAAAATTTCCAACAGGAGGCCACAGAAGCTGGAATATCCGAGGGAGACGTCTAATTTTATCTGCAGATTACAATAAAGAAGATAATGACGTGGTACAATATTCTCCAAGAAAGAGAATTGTTACTAAAAACTTACATCACAAACTTAATCCTATGGTAAGATCAACAAATCGGTTTGCTTTTGAGAATTCCAAAAATAAATTACATACCGATATACCAGATGTCCATACAAGCTATGACAGTGCAGATCCATCACTGGATCCTTCTAATCTTGAGGAATCTTCTCCCAATATTTTGCATCCTGATCAAAATTGTGAACAATCATTCATACAAAGCCATGACCTGGATGTACAGCAGAGAATTCCCACCAGCAGAAATCCTTTTTACTGTTCCCAGTGTGAGAAATCCTTTTTGAGGAAATCAGGACTTGTTCAACACCTGAGAATCCATATTGGGGAAAAGCCATTTTCTTGTTCTGTTTGTGGAAAGTCTTTTTTTGAAAAATCGCAACTCAACAGACACCACATAGTCCACACCGGTGAGAAGCCCTTTCCCTGTCCTCAGTGTGGAAAGTGCTTCTCTCATAAAGGGAACCGCGATAAGCACATGAGGGTTCACACCGGGGAGAAGCCATTTTCCTGTGTAGAGTGCGGAAAATGTTTTGCACAGAAATCGACGCTAATCATCCACCAGAAAATGCACACCACCTGAGGCTGCTGAAAAACTTATGGTGGCATTTCATTGGCTGAATCGTTATGCCCTTAGAACTTTTTTGTTGTATTATCTCCGTTTTTTTTTTTTATAATTTATTGTACATTTTCGTGGTGTAGTTTTGCTTAAAACTTAAACATTTTGCCTTTCTCCATTCTGGTGATTTTCCTCTCGTCCTGGTGTGTTATGCAGGCAGGAATTGTGGGAAAATCTCCCCAACAAGTACACAGGTATAAAAAAAAAAAACATTTATTTAGTATACTGGGGAAGAGTTTGATTTTTTTTTTTTTGCTTGTACATGTGCCCACTTAGGGAGACTTCCTGGGCTACAGATAAAAAATAACCCAAGAGAGGCTCTCATCTTCTTCATTCTTTCAAAAATAACAAAAAAAGTGCTGGATTTCCACTTTAATTGCTGAAGTTCTCTGGGAACAGTGGTGGGTACTGAAGCTGTCCTTCTTTTTTTACCTTACTTAAAGATAGGAATTATGTGGCAGCAATAAAATAAATTTCTCAATGAAAAAACCATAGTGTGGACTCTTGTGTTTTTTTTTTTTTTTAAAACTTCATTTTTATATTTATTGTTTTTATTGAGATTATTTCACTAGCTAAAGAGCATGTACAGCATGTACAGTTATCAAAGGGATTGAGACCTTCTAAGCCAGTAGTCGTCAACATATGAGATAATGGGGACCTCAAATGCTACCCCTGACATCACCTAAGGGCTGCACATAATGTCCAATATATGTAATGCTTGAGAGGACTGTCAGAGATTGCAGACCTAATGTAGGAAACGAGGGTCAAGGAGTGTGGAGAGGATACATTGTTGGCTGGAGAGATGCTGCAGAAGACAGTATGAAGCTGGGAACATGTTACCTGAGGCTGGTGGGGATCAATGCTTCTGCCATAATCGATGTTCCCACCAGAGATTGCCGAGGTCCAACAGGCACACATCATATACCAAAGGGCTGCATGTGGCTTTCGGGCCACAGGTTGGGCACCAGGGACAGATGCATACTTTCGAAGTCACAATGATACAATATACAGTATAAACTGCAATGATATCTATTGGTATAACTATATGATACAAAAACATTCCAACGAAACCAACGATAATGCATATGATATAGTCACGTATATGTATACATACAGTATATTCAGACTGTAAACTTGGAACTGTGGAATTCAGGAGTTAACTGGTGCTTTGCCAGGGACCTTCTCATGGGTATGACCTCCAGGCTATTCAACAGTTACAGATGCACAGGATGGAAGGTGCCAGGCAACAAGGAACTGGAAAAGGCACAGGGCATTTGGAAGTGGGAAGGAGGCTTGATGCTGTGGGTTTAAAGATTGTGCAGCCGGGTTCAGACTGATGAGACTGGATGTGGAAGTGGTTCAGCAAAAAATGAGGCTTTTGTGTGCTGCGATGACTGCGAGATCAGCCGATGTGCAAAGGATGTTGCAAATGCATTGTAGGTACTGTGCAGGCCATGATTGCAGTTGCTATGTAGAGGAGGCTGTGGATTTGGCTAAGGTGCAGTGGAGGCTGAGACTGTGGGTGTTGTGAAGGCTGTGAGAGAAACTGAGGTGCAGCAGAAGTGATGTATGTACAAGAGGGCTGTGGTGGTGGAAGGATGGCTGCTGCAGAGACAATCGGGTAAATGTACTAAAAACTGATGCACTCAGAATCTGTTGCAGCTGTGCATGGTAGCCAATCCACTTCTAACTTCAGCTTGTTCAATTAAGCTTTGGCACAAAAAAACCTGGAAGCTGACTGGTTTCTATGCAGATTTGCATTCGATTTTGCACTCCCTGTGACTCTCTCTGAAGTATCCGTAGCTGTGGGGAAGAGAGGAACCACCAGCGATGGATCACAGAAGGTAAGCAGCTGTGACATTAGCCGCTTCCTATAGGGTCTCCCCACCCACTGAGGGCCTGGTTTCAGAGGGAGGAGGTGATGGACTTTCCATACAGGATGAGGACAAGAAACATCTAATGCCAGTTGGGACCAGGAATGTTTTTCAAGCCAAAGCTTTCCAATCTTACAGGTAATTCAACTTGCCACTGGAATTTTATATTTGCTGGAACTCTCATTCCCAAAAGAATGCTGCTTGAGGAGAAACAAGGAGTAGAGTAGAGTAGGATAAGACAATCTCTTAAGACCACGACCAGCTTCAGAACAGAGATATGAAAGGAGTTGTGTATGTGAAGATACATCACTTGAAAGCCACAGGATTGATATCGTCTGAGGACCAGCAATGCAGTTGCAGAAGGAACAGAAGCGATGTTGAGATTCACGCTCCTAGTAAAGTTCCTGGAACCCAACATAGATAAGGATGGAGATGGAAATCAAATCGGTCAAAGAGGAGGGTAGTTCCCTGTCTGCCAGCTCAGTCAGACACAGTCAGATAGTCCCCACCAGGATGTGGCTCATTACTCCAAACCAGTTCAGCCACGAGGGCCCAAAATTAAATTGCTTACTGTTCCACTGTCATGCTTCCATGGTGCAGGGATAGGAGGGGGCTAGAAAGATGGCTTGGAGCTCTGGCAAATTCTAAGCCAGGGGATAGTCTCTCTGCCAGAGGGAGGAAGCACAGACCAGGACATCTTGGGCCAGAAGGCAGATTACATATTCCATCTTGGAACAGTGAATGGGGAAATTCTGGAGCTGCAGTTGGAAGTAAATTACTCACTAATTAAAGAAGCCCCATTAGCTCTTAGGACCCTTGGAGTAATGAGGAGATGGCTGTAGATGCAGAGTCTCACAGGCAGTCTATGCGAGAGTCTAGGTCTTGCAAGTATCACACAACCTATTCTTGAGTGGCCTGCTTTGCTCTCAATTTGCTGGTAGTGCTGAACAAGACTTCAAGTGGATCAGTGGAAGGTAGAGGCACCTAGAGAAGGTCTGTGCTTGGCTCAAGCATTATTCAGTTTAAAATGCTGCTTTATGCATTGACATTCCTCCTTAGACCCAGTGACCCTGATTTACTATTGTGCCTAGGCGCATTTCCGTGGGCGAATGTCTAATTTTTACTATCGGCCGTCTACTTTTACCCTGCTAAGAAATTTACTAAAGAGAAGCGTCAACAAGTAGACGCCAAATCGAATTTACTAACGAGACACAGATCAGGAATCAGACTCAAAATGCAGACTTGCTAAGAGGCACATCTAACACCATGAAAAATCACTGCAGAAACATGTTCACATCGAAATTTGCTTTGCCAAATATCAGGACTTCACTTTAAACAATATCAGCCATTTCCAAAAAAATTTAAAATGTGTTAAAAAGTTTTTTTTTAAGCAAGTCGACACAGTGAAGAACTAGATGCTTGTGCAGTGTATTTGTCCGATATAAATGCGCATGTGCAGAACACATTTTAGATGTCCTCTGTGGGCGTTTGCTTTTTAGCTGCT